GTTACACCACAACACAAACATAACTCATAAAACACATTTTCAATGCTCAACCCATTGCTTACAAAGACATAAGGGGGAGCCTTAAATTTATAAATCATCATATCAACCTACAATAATCACAATCTTACTAACTTCTTATTTGCACTAGTATTTTGGCCCTATAGTATCTTTCTCAATCAGTACATATACACCCTAGAGTCCAAAATACGCAATATAGTTTAACAACCTTCTAATGCAAGTAAGCCCGAAAACTTGCATAACCCTAGTTGGCAGCATCATTTAAGTTATACACATAATAATAATAAAAACAAATGAGGCCTACTAATTATTAAGATCAAAGTCCTAAGCCTCGATCTGTTTCCCTCATTCACGTCTCGATGAGTTAGTTCCTATAATATTTAAAATAATGGTTGAGTACAACTACTTAATAACTAAGATCCATCTAACTTATGCTAATGCATGTTAATTAATTTAAATGCAAGTGTCAAGGATATTGAATTTCAAATCATTTAACATGTTCAAGAGTATAAATTTAAAATTCTCATTCATAATGACACATGCTCATGAAATAATGATTTAGCAATACAATTCTATATAGAAATAGGACTAATCACATGATTTGTTTAACTAGAGTCATAATATGAACAATTATATGCCCTTTTATCACTATATGCATGATCACACATTTTTTATATTCTCCTTATACCTCTGACATGAAACCGCGAGCTATGACATATTGGGATCATCTATACATTGAGATTACCCTAACTAAACATGCATGAGAGGTTACTTGACTAAAGTTTTCTAACTCACTTACGGGTCACGAATTTTCCCATTTCTCCCATTATGAGATGACATTCTCCTTAGACTAGCTTCCTCGTTGAACAAGTGGTAAATTAGTTAGGTTTGAGTCCCTCATCGAACAAGTGGGACAATATGAATAATAAATCCAGACTAACAATCAAGCTTTGATGGAAGCCTTACCATGTAGATTTAGTTTCCTACTTTCCTTCCTAGACAAACCCCCGCCTTTCAAGATCATGCGACATATAATAATGCAACATTTTAAAGTATGCAATTACTTAATGTCCAAGCAAGCATAACATCATTATTGCATTAATCTTACACATGAAAAATACATTAACTCATAAAATCAAATCATTGAACTCCACTTTACTTTTCTCATCGAACTCCTCATCTACACATTCATTGAATCGCTAATAACACATCATAGGACTCCACAACATACTATTTCATTTAACTTTTCATTTTTTAAGTTATTGAACTCCTCATGACAACAATAATTGAATTTCATTTGCGAATCACATCATTTAACTTCAATTGAAAAACTCATCATTGAACTTTACAAGATCATCATAGTGGACTTCAAGTGAGTCATGACATACTAATATTTCATTTAATTTCACACATTTCAATCATCGAATGTAACTCAATAAACTAATTAACACACAAAAGTATAAGAAAGAATTTCTCTAGTTACCTCAAACATTTGAGAAATTAAAGATTTACCCTTCAATTTCATACTCCCAAAGCTTTCACGAAGTTTGAATGGTGCCAAATGCGATTACTCTATAATTAGTCACAATATAATTCATCAATATTCCTTTTTGCCTAACTTTTACTATCTAGTTCAACATTTCTTCATCCTTAAGATTCATACCCTTAACATATAAAGGTACTCACAGGATTTCTTAGCTTCTTCTAACTTTCATTAACTCTATTGAACTCCTAAATAATTATTAATAAAGTCACATTGCTCCAACCATTTCAATAATAATGGATTTTCATCCATTTATAGCCCTTAACCAACTAAAAACATATAGAGTTATAAATGTTAGGTTTACATAACTCAACAAATTTCAATAAATTTATTTAAGTCAATGGATTCGGACCTATAGCCTTTATGAACTAAAAATTATCTTTTTCAACCAAACTCTAACTCCCATCATAAAGAAATATACAAGAGAAAGAGAGGTTCAAGCTTAGGAAACTTACTTCTGGTGTTTAAAAACTTCAAAACACTTCCAATACTTCAATCTTTTAAGCATTTTCTCTTTGTTTTTCTCACTTTTTGATGCTCAAGTAGCCTGACTTTGCTTCGCACTCAATCCTAAGGCTGAAATGACAATTCAAAACACCCATTAGCTCTCTGTAACCATACACCATGTTAATTTACTTCATTAATCCTCATTTATTCAACTAATTAGGGGTTAAATTCTCCAGGATGTTACATTAACCATTGTAAACCTTTAAACTAGTCTTTTCTTTTATACCATAATTAATCTTTTTATAACTACAGTTAAAGTATTTCATTATAGAATGGTAATTAATGTGGGTTAATCTCAAATTACTACAGAGGTTGTGGTTATGTGTTGAGGTAATGAAGGTGGTATTTCAATAGAAGTTCAAAACAAGGAAAATAGTAATCAAAGACGTTAATATGAAATTTTTATCTGTCAAAGATCAATTATTGTCAAAACTTGAATGAATACTTGTGGATCCGGGTTAGTCTTCTATCAACAAACATCCACTCAAGTTTTACCAATAACTAATTCTAAATTAACAATAGTTCATTCAAGTTTTAACAATATCTCATTCTCGACTAATATAAATTTCATATAAAGGTCCTTGATTGCCATGTTCTCTTTAAAATATCATCAGAATTTGCATTATCAAGGAGGGGAAAGTCCAATAAAGTCCCCGAATGCATCACTGGGTTTCACACAAAGGCCTCCACATCTTCAATAACGCCAACCATACTATCGAGTTCATGTGCTACTTTCCTTCTCTCGCGTCCCTTTCCTTCTAAAACAACTTAATCAACTCCTCTCTTCTTGTTGGTATCTCTCTCATAGTACTCTCATAGATCCTGCATTAAACATACTCTTGTAAATTCATATGCAATCTCTTGGATTGCTGAGGGTTACTATCAGGGGTATGTCGTAGGTGATGTCAAACCAAAGGTGGCATCACAAAGGTTCCAAATTGAAAGAGAATTGTAAGGACCAAAGAATTGAAGCTTAACCTTGTAAAGGAAGAGATCCTCTCAAATAAGAGAGAGTAGAGGGCTACTTGAGTCAAAACAAAAATTTGTTAATTGTAAAAAAAAAGGGAATAGTCTTAAAATTTAATTTCAAAATTTTATGATCCTGTATGATTATTTATAATTTTCAAAGATCCATATTTGTGATCTCCTTGTTTCTTAATTTGTAAGCTTGTCACAAGTTTTACCATTGAATTTGTTTGATAAAAAACTAAAACACAGCATAATTGATTTTAGATAGGACTGTCGTAGACAAGTACTTTCCTAGATCTGTAATTTTTCCACATTGCATGGCACTCTAAACCTTTTGATCAATAAATCAAGTGTGAGGAAGAAGCTCTTCAACACAACCACCCCTGCATCTTTTGTTCTTGTTGAAGATGTTTTAAATTAAAAATTTTTGAGTGAAAGACCCTTGACCCAAGATAATGAAAAAGAGGACCCTTGAATTTTTGAAATTTCACTGAATGGCCCGTATGGATTTTCGTTTGAATTTGCAACTGAAATGATAAAATTGCCCTCATTTAAATGAACAATATAAATGACTTGTTTATAGTCATAATTTCACTTAATTTCATTTTAAATGTTGGTTTCATGATAAGACGACTTATTTGTTTTCATATTGTATGCTGTTTATTTACTTATAAACAATTATTGTTTTACCTACTTCACTTGTTTATGACCTTGGAATAAAATTAAGTGAAAGTAGGACTATAAACAAGTAAAGTAGGAAAATAAACAACATTTCATAAGTAAATAAAGAACATACAGCATGAAAATAAACAAGTTGTTTATGTTGTTCATTTAAATGAGGAAAATTTTGTCATTTTCATCACAAATTCAAACAAAAATCCATAAGGTCCTTCAATAAAATTTCATAAATTTAGGAATGTTCTTTTTCATTTTGTTTAGTCAAGAATCACTCACTAAATTTTTTTTTAATATAAGGCGACGAGAAAATCGTGCAAAAAGACTAAGGTCTAGTCATATCAGAAGCCATGGGGCTTATGCAATTGTGAGGCGAGTTGATTAAGATAAATGTATTAAAATCTTCATAAAGAGTCTTGTGAGCCAAAAGGTTAGTGTAGCTGTTTGCTTACCTGTAGACGCAATCAAAAGTAATAATTTAATCTCTCATGGAGAGATCTCCAATGTTTTTGACAATCACAGAGAGGAGGTGGGAGTCATAACATCCATTGTTAATGAGCGATAATACTTTTAGGGGATCGGAGTGGACATTAATTTTAGTGAGTTTCTCATTCCAATAAAGTTTGAGACCTTTTAAAATTACATAGAGCTTAGTTGTAATGGTAAGGTAATAACCAAGGTTCTTGGAGAATCCCTTAATCCATTTACCCTTGTCATCTCTAATTATGCCTCCACATGAAGCAGCACGATAAATATTGACAGAGTCATTCATGTTGAGTCTAGCCTAACCAAGTTCAGGAGGACTCTATTTAGCTTCATATTTGATGCTATTATTGTTTAATTGGTTAATCTTGAATTGAAGCTTTAGATCATTCATAATCTATTGCATGATGAAGAAGGCAATGTTGTTAATTCAAAAATTATCTTTTAAATAAATTTTTCTGCATATGACTTTCCATATATTCTAATAAGTTTGGATAAAAAAATTTTATCAAGAGATTTTTTTGATTATTTAACTGTCAACTTCATTTTTAACATTTTAAATTATTTAATCTTATATATTATGAAAGAAAAAGGTGTTAAAATTTGTAGGATTCATTGACCTTTTTCAAACTTTTTGGGTTTCAAAATTTTTCTTTTTAAATTTGCTCCCTCCCTCTCTAGTACGATAACTCTTCCGTGGTTGCCAGCTGTCTTTAATTTGACCACGCTACTTGGCATCATTGTCAAATGGCTTGATTGTAATAACTAGCAAAGCTTAGGGCTTAGAAAACGTCAATCCGCCTAGAATGCCGAGGTAGAGGTTTTTTGAGCCAGCCATCATTGTAAACGAAGTCTCTCCCAGCTTTTTCCTCACCGCCTCATCATGTCTGAGTACCCAAACAAGCCCCCTGGTTACGGATACGGTTACGGGGCGCCGCCATCAGGCCATCCCTATGGCTCGGCGCCACCCTATTCCGCCAATCCATACGGTGCAGCTCCACCACCACATGGCCAAGGTAACCCTTATGCTCCGGCAGCGGCTCCCTATGCTGCACCCTACGCACCACCTGGTCAGAAACCCCCAAAGGATAATTTCCAAACCCATGGCAGCAGCGGTGGAGGCTACCCGCCGGCGTCGGAGCCTTCGTACCCTAGCCCTTTCGCGACGTTGGTACCGTCGGCGTTCCCTCCTGGCACTGATCCCAGTGTCATTGCCTGCTTCCAAATTGCAGATCAAGACGGCAGTGGATTGATCGACGACAAGGAATTGCAGATGGCGCTTTCTTCCTACAGTCAGAGCTTCAGCCTGAGGACTGTCCATCTTCTCATGTATCACTTTACCAACACCAACATCAGGAAGATTGGTACTCTCTATCTCGCATTTTATCTTGTTTTTCCCCAATTGGTTAGGGAACTGTGTTTTGTGGAATTCGGACCGGGGATAGTAAATGTTCTGATAAATTAAGCCGGGGGAGAATTTTTCCGGCATGCGGTGCTAAATTTTGCGGCCTCGCCCACCCAGGGGATCGTCAGAATAGAAGATGCCCGGTGGATGCGGCGTGTCTCAATCTGGACACGTGGCGGTGGTGCGAGTCCTTACTTCGGTCAGCCGGCAACTGCATGTGAAATGTTAAAAAATGCCCTTGTTTTGTGCTTTGCGCGTTTTTTTCTTTCAAAAATATAATTTTTGGTCTCGGCACTTTTGCCCGTTTTTTGTTGTTAATTCCTGTATTTTTTTTATTTTAAATTCTTATATTTTTATTTTTGTTGTTTTAACTTCCCACTTAAAAAAGGTGTAAGGATAAAAATAAAACGCGAGCAAATGTAACCTAAAGCTGTGTTTTTCCTTCTTTATTTTTTGTACTTTTGGATAATAGCGCGTTATCTGCTTTCCTAAAGCTGTGTTTTTCCTTCTTTATTTTTTGTGCTTTTGGATAATAGCGCGTTATCTGCTTTTCTTACCGCCCTGAAAAAATGGTCCGGGGACTGCTCTTGTAAAGGGTCACCTTGCATAAATTACGCGGATTTGTCATCAACTAAACATCTTTAGCTTTTATTTCGCTCAAAAGAAAAGCCTCTTTAGCTTTTAAGTTTTATCTAAATAAACACCTCCCCTTTATAATAATATATTTATATTTATATAAAATATAAAATTTATGCTGAGCTGAAATATCAATGGCTTGTAATTTGTAACTGTAAGTCTGTAAGCAGTGTTTTATATAGATATTGATATATTGACTCTCTTTTTTGGTTTTGGCTTTTGTGGGAGCTGTATATATGGGGCCTCCATTTACTATGGCTGGAATAGAATCCACGCGTTGCGTTACGCTGTTACAATTAAAACTACGGGAAAATCACACCCAGGTCTCCACAACAAATGTAACTATCAGCAATAAGTTCTTTTGCAGTTTCTTGGTTCTCATGTGTGAATAAGTTTGCAAGCAAAATAACCTTATTTGCCCTTACTGGACTGGGTCCCCTTAGCCCCATTTGGCTGGGAGTTAGGTTTCCTTCTTTGTAAAAATAATATACTGTTCTAGATGGTTAAATTAAATTTGATAATTCTTAAAAGTACAAACAGTTCAGATTTTACAGGAGGTGAAGCCAATGGACAGAAGTTGACTCCCTTTGGTCGCCATGTTTGCCCTCACTTGTTTCTCAACCACAGGTCGAACACTTGACACTGAAAGTAAAACCCAGAGAAGGATGAAATGATTCAAACAAGCTGGTCTCACTGTCACGCCATGAATGGAGAAGAAGGGGGGGGGGGGAGTTTTAAAGAAGGTAAGGGGCGAGAGGTGCAGGAAATATGGGTGGCATTGAAGAAGTGGCATTAAATTTGACAACAACCGATCAAGTAAGGAAGTTGGGAACATTAATTTAAGGAGGGAGGGTACAGGATTCAATTTTAAGGAGGCAGCATTTGTGGATCATGGGGTTGGGAAAGAGGGGTTGTTAGTTCTGTTCAAATTTCAATCTGCATTTATTGCATCAAACGGAAAGTTGAAAGGACTCTTTGGGGTTGGTTGAAATTATTTTTATTTTATTGTTTTGAAAATTAGTGTTTTATAAAACATATTTCAAAAAAAAGAAAATTATGAAAATAGGTGATTTTTGTTTTCTCCTTTATTTTTAAAATAATAATCTCAAAATATTTAAAAGATGTTTCTGTTTTTTTTATTCTCTGAAATAATTTTTTTTTGTTTTTCAAAACTTTTTTTAAAAAATATGTTACCAAATAGATTTTTTGTTTTGTTTTGTTTGAAAGAATAAAAAATTGGTCTCAACACAGGTTGTCAAATAAGCCCTGCTTTTTTTAGCCTTTTTTTTTTTTTTTTAAAGGTTTGGGTTTCTGGTACTGTTTTAGTTATTGTCATGATGCCCCTCCTCTTACAAGGTGCTTCGTGGGTTCAAATTTTCCTTTACTTCATGCCATTGATGGAGGGAAGGGAAAAAATGGTGCTGGTGGGGAAGACGATCGCGATAAGAATTTAATCAGCACAAATAGGTCATTTTACTGGTAGTTGCGGTTGTCATGGAGGACCTAGGTGTGATTTTCCCTAAAACTTAAAGAGTTAAGGCATATGGTCGGTTTGGCAGCTCATTGGTTTTGCCACTAGATTATCGCTTTTTAGATATTTAATGATGATTGTGATATTTGTTTTGATGCATGTCGAGTTAGATCTGGCTGTGCAGTGAGCTGTAATTAAAAATTAATGTGGAGGATTGTGAGTAAGGGTTCAATTCCTACCATCTCTTTGAAATAATATATAGGCGGCTGTTCCATACTTCTCACTGGATAAAGCTTATGGAGATGCCAAAATATACTAGGCTTTGTCCCCAACTAGAACAAGTGATGGCTAAAACCCAACCCAAAAGATGGAGTGAGCTGAGTAGCCATATGGCCTCGGTCCTTGTTTTGCATGCGTTTCATCTCCGGACCTAGTCCTTATATTATCCATCTGCTATTTGGAGCTGCAATTCATTTACATCTTCTGTTTTCTCTGGTCATTTTAATGCAGGACCAAAAGAATTCACTTCTTTATATTACAATCTTCAAAACTGGAGGGTACTTTCGTCTCAGTCAATCTCAATTTGAAATTTTCCATGCCCCTTTTTCTCACATTCCGAATTGTTATTTGTTTCAGTCCGTCTTTGAGAGATTTGACAAGGACAGGAGTGCCAAAATTGATTCATCTGAGTTGAGAGATGCTCTACTGAGCATGGGGTTTGCTGTGTCACCTGTGGTATTGGATTTGCTCGTCTCCAAGTTTGACAAAACTGGTGGAAAAAGCAAGGCTATCGAATATGACAATTTCATTGAGTATGATTTCGCTACATGTACTTCGTCCCTTTTTTTGTTGAATATATGCATACCATCCTTGAGAAATTTTGTATATACGATCCCCTTAGGACTGATTTTTCCCTTGTTTCCCGTGTTTGCTAATGCAGGTGCTGTCTTACCGTTAAGGTGAGCTCCCTAATCACATTTCATTTTAATCTCACTTTCAAATAAAACGATTTCTTGAAAAATCTCGTTCTTCGTTGATAATATACTCTTGTTGTTTGGTCAGTTAGTAACATGATTAATTTGATAAAATAAGGAAGTAATCTTATATTTAATATTTTGTACGTGAGCTTATTCCTATATTGAATGGAATCCAATTCCTTGATTAAAACCAAATGGAACGTCACATAATCGGCCAATTAAATGGTTATCTAAAAAGGTCTTACTTTGAATGATGCGACTTGCAGGGACTAACCGAAAAGTTCAAGGAGAAGGATACCAATTACTCTGGTTCTGCAACATTCAGCTATGAGTCCTTCATGCTGACTGTTCTGCCATTCCTGATTGCTTAGAGAATAACGGTTTGCCTTTGTGATTGCTAGTACCTGGCTTCTTAAATATCATGTACCTTTCCTTGTAAGTAAGCAAGTTCCGAGATAGTGATAGGATCTCATGCTCTATAGCAGTTTGCATGGAGCACTACTTTGTTTTGTAAAAATTACCTTCTCTATCATTTGCTATCGTTATCAAATTGCTATCATTATCATGATAAATCAACCATATGATGCCGATTTTTCAAATTAATGAAAGCTTTCTTCTTTGAAAAAAAAAAATTATACGATACAACACTAGATATACGCTTGATCTGCACAAAATGTGACTGTATCTCCGATTCAACTGAATAACTTGACAATGGTGGGAGGCTGTAAATCATAACAAAATGGTTTATTTGTTGTCCATCCAAGAACGTCACGGAAGAAGTTCACTTCCCTCTCTATCTTTAGAGCACGCGCGCGCGCACATATATTTACGGTCCCTTGGTATATAGCCAAACTGGTCTTCCGTCTAGTTCCTGCGTAGGCCTTGAATTTTTCTCGAAACCCTGTTTCACGCCATAAACTTGTAAATTACAAGAATCAGAAAGCTGCCCAAGTCTCAAGGAAAATTTCAGAATTTTTAGCCGCCTTTGATTTTAATCCCGTGGCGCGAATTCTATTAGCTAACTTGGGAGTTTCCGAAGCAGCTTTTTTTTGTTTTTTTGGGTACTTCCGAACAAAGTAGTAATTCTTAATCTTCAAGTTTATAAGAGACGACTCTTTTAATAAAGAATAAAAAAAAAGGAGCAGAGAAGCTGTCTGATTTGCTTACATCATTAACAGCATCTCTCAATTCTTTGATCTGCTCCCTTGAGGCTGTCCTCACCTGCGATGAACAAACACAGCGTATAAATACAACAGGAGTGTGATTAAAAAGTTAAAAACATGCGTAGTTTAAACAATGGTGTGAAAGCAATGAACCTTTTTCACTATAGTCCAGACGACACCTTCAGTGCAAGGTGGGACTGTAATAGAGCCAAGGTATCTATAATACTTCCTGCTTCCAAACTTAATGTCTCCAGGGTTTAGTATTCCCAAATCTCTTTCTTCCTCGCCAATTGACTTTACGTGGGGAATCAGCTGCCAGAAAAGAAAAAACGAACTGCAAATCAATAACCTAGTCACGATCATACCCAACCTGTTTAAGGAATTACATATACGTAGCTAAATAAGCATCATGTTTTGTTTTTACACGGGTGTGTCAATTTCAGTAGAATGTCGTGTATTATACAGGTTAGCAGTGGATGCATATATTAATTCCTAGGAGTAGATACAGACAAGAAGAAACATGTCAAACCTTCGAAAGCAAAGGATCTGGGCGGCCATATTCATATAAAATTCCAATAACAGCCAACCTTCCATCATCTGATTCATGAACTGCATGGAGCTCCAGGTTAAACCTGCAAATCAAATTTGAGTGGATATAACACATGAAGAGCCCTGATGAGACTGTTTTTTATAATTAACAAACCGACCTTTTTTCCTTCACCGTATGCTCTGAAGGTACATGCCAATGGCACTGCACTAGTTTGTAATAAGTTCCATTTATGTTAATCTGACCTGCATATCCCTTCCAATGGACCTGCCAATACCAAGTACAGCAATTAACACATCATCGACACACCATAATTCTTTTGAACAGCCTGATGACTAAATAGATATCTAAAACTCTGCAAGAGTTATTCTCGATGGAGAAATGTGTATTAATTAAGTAGAATGGAGATGAGGCTACCATAATGTCGTGACCCCTGTTCTTGATGGTAGCTGGAGCAGGTTTGTAATCTCTTTTAAGTTTGCCCAAGTTTGGAAAAACCTGGACCCTTTCGTCCAGAAGATCAATCGGAGATTGCAATTTCCCAGTACCACAAAGTTTCCATTCTGGCTTAAGACTTCCCCAGCGTTCTGGCCCTTTCCCAGTTCCCTCTTCGTAAAGGAATGGGTGTTCATCCTCTGTCCAAAGTCCAAACACCAAATGAAATTCCACTCACAGAAATAAAACAAACCAAAAGGAACCCGCTGCACAAGATTTCACGAGGAAGGCATTGTCCAGGTACAATTAAGTATCTGTCTCGTCTTTGTGCATTGATAAACAAACAAGAAAAGATAAATATTGGCAGGGTAAGGAAAATGTGTTAACTACGACATGTGAGCGAATTTTGGTCTGTCTACAAAAGCAAAACAGGAATCGAAGCTTTGTGAGAAAATCGCGCTTGATCTGCATAACTTGAATGCCATTATTTTGAACCTAAATTTCAAATAGACGTCAAAAACAGAAAATGTAGTCTGAAAGAGGGATCATACCAACTTCTTCTTCAGAATGATCGGCCAGTAGGACGGGAGAGGAGCATAGAATGAGAATGAGGACGAATGAGAGAGATTTGGTGAAAGAAAGGGGGGCCATGCTTATTGTTGATTGTGCGACGAACACGGATAGGCAAAAATATTGTGAGGATCGTGTCCATATACACACATATATATAGGGATTAGGTACACGAATCTTCCTTCGTAGTGCTTTGGGGCTGCAGGGGAGTGGCCAGTGCCTAAAATCTCTGGCCGCTGCTATTTACTGACATTAAAATTAAAATTAAAATTATAACAATTAGCTGTTTCCTTTTTCGCCAAGAGAATAGTACATTTTTTGTCTTCATTATTTTTAATAATTTCATATTTATAGTACAATAAGATAAACATAACTTTTTAATTTTTGTACTTCACTTACATTTTATTTTAATTCTTATATTTTTTTTAATATTTTAAGTCCTTACATTTTTATTTTTTATTATTTTATATTTTTTCAAGTCTCTACACTTTGCTTATAGAAGGTTCAAAAATAATAAAAAATAAAAGTATAAAAATCTAAAATATTTAAAAAATATATATAAAGATAAAAAATAAAACGCGAGTAAAGTATAGGAATCAAAAGTTATATTTATTCAATATAATTTTTTTAAATTTTTAAATTTTTTTTACATACTATCATTAATATCATAATTAATTTTTATTGGATGGATTATAGATGATATGGTGCATCAAGTTTACTTAAAAATTTCTCCATTTTTTGAATATTATGCTGTGTGTTAATTGGTAATTTTTAAATAAAAAATGTCTGCCATACAAGTAGCTTCAAGCACAATAGATGGCACGTCATCGTTGATTTTTTTTCCTTTCACTAAAATCTTGGGGGAAAGGAATGTAATTATTTTTAGAAATTTTTAAATATATATCAACTGTCAATCTATTAAGCTACTCGTATTCTATGTTATTTTAAATTATTTTTTATTGCCTTAGGTATTCTTCAATGGCAATTCCTTTCACGAGAATTTCAAACTTTATTTAATCACAGTGTGAGAGACCAGTCATTTAGTTAATTTATTTTAATTGTTTTTATTGTTGTGTGGATAGAGTTTTATATGGTCTGGCTAAAAAAAAAAAAAAGATAGTTTTCTATGGAGCTCGTGTTTTATCCAGAGGTTGTATATATGATTGCATATATAGTTTTTTGTTTGATTACAGAGTTTACAAAAAGAGAAGAAAGTGACGTTGGAGGGGGAAAATGTCATAGATGTCAAAGATAATAAGCATCCCCGGCAAGGGAAGACAAATAGTTGCTGATAAATTATCATTTACGGAGATTGAATAGTAGAAAATTCGTTACTAAATGCGAATTAATACTCATAAATAACAAATAACTCAAACATCAGTATTAACCTGCCTCCAACTCTTCAACTCAACTAATCAGAAAATAAGATTAAAGATTTACAGTTACTAGTCAAAAGTACACCGAAGAGTCTTAAACCGCGATTAATTCGCAGTTAATTTGGACGCGTGACTGTATGTCAACCAGAAATTATGGAGGCTTTGCTCAGAATTAAAGTTATCTAATATAACCACTTTGGGCCAAAATTAGAAGAGGCGTTTGGATTCTTTTTAACCAAAACCTTGGTTTAATTAGGGACACACAATCGATTATAAATGTTTATCCAAGCAGGTACAAAAACGGCATCGTAATGTATGCTTTTTGACAAAGAAAGGAGACAGTGTTAAGGACAGATAATCGATTATGGATTATTGTGACAAAAACAGGTGTCACGGCATCGACATTAACAGTAAAAAGTAAAAAGAGAACAATTATCCCTTTTCACGTACGTTTTGTGCCTTTCTTCTTAGTGTGACCCAAAATTCCTGAAAGCACGCACTTATGATCTACGTGTCGCAGCAATATGAGTTATTCTTTCCTCTCTGCCAGGGGCCCGAGGCCCAGAGAAGTTATTCTTCCCTTTGTACTGAAATTTAGGAAGCTTGTGCGTGATTAATCTAAGAGAATCCCATAAAAAGCGTGCTTGAATCTTTAATTAGATTACAGTTTTTCTGCTGCATGCAACGCACGCGTTGTGATTACATGTCATGAGAGTCAATAGCCAGTTAATATGGGAATATTCTTTTTTTCTTTTTTGGCCTGAAGTTAATAGGGGAGTTAATTCAATGGCCCGGACTGTGGGAGTTAATGGAGAATGTACGTGCATGTATATAGTTATATTTTGCACTCAAGGATTTTCCTCTATATATGCATGAACTGTTGCATGCATGCGTGTTTTGAGATGAAAGTTTATTCCGACCGTTTGTATTTTTTATATTCTGTCGTCTAGCTATAATTAAGTAGCCAACGTAAGTGGTCCGCCAAATCCAATGACTGTCCGCGCGCGCAATGTTATTTACTGTGACTTGATAAATAATGTATTTCATTATAAGTTTTATTTATGTTCTATACTTTATTAATTTTATACTATACATTTGATGATTGATGATTTTTTATTATTTTTGTTGAAGCACGTGCTTACAAAATTGAAACACTGGTCCGTAATTAGGCTGGGAGGTATTGATGCTAAGAAGTGATCCCCCCCACCCCAAAAAAAAAAAAAAAAACACATATACACATAGAGAGAGCCCCTAAGATGACTCGACCTACCAATTTTTGACAAACAACAATGTAATGAAACGGCAGAGCATAAATTATTCGAAAGCACGTGTCAATACGTAGCAGGTATCGTATGCCAGCTGCGGCAATGATTATACCGAAGAATATTAGACTAATAAGTCAGGCTCTGGATTTTCAACGTTTTCTTTTTCTTCTTTCCTCTTGCTGTATTTCTTTCATTTTTCATGGCAATAGATACATCCTTCTTCTTCCTATTTTCTGAAATAAACTATTTAATACTATTTCCCAGCAAAGGTAATTTAATAATTTTTTAATAGGTATATAATGCACGCATATAAATATATCTTCAATAGAAATTTAATTTTTCCTTAATATTATTTGTATATACTCTTTAATATTTTAACCCCTTAAATAGATATACTTGACAACTGTTCCGTGGTCATTATTTTCAATTTTCAATATTTTTTATTATGATATTAATCAAATATCTATTAACTATAATTATATTTTTACCATCCGCGCCCTTCAATCATTTTTTTTCCTGGTACAGTCCCTGGCAGGGATACTCCAATTTTAAGTTGAGATTTACATAATTCATATATTTAATAAAAAAACGATGCTAAATAATGAAGCTACTATTTAACACTATATTAACTGATTTGCAATTTAAACAGACACATGCACACAGAATGCTTATATTACTACTGTCACGTCTTTACAGGGTGTAGAGTTTAGTCGCCCTTTCCAGCGGGAAAGGAACAAAGGAAGTTGTTGACTAAACTTCATGCTCATGGATTTATAATTCTTGAGAGGCAAGCGGGGACCTGGAGCTCGCGGGAGACGTTGGGCTTGGAGTTGGGTGTGAGGTCACTGATGGTTGAAGTTTTGGGCCAAGACATGGGCTTAAGGAAATTGATATGGGCCCAAGAGCAGGCTTGGCGATGGAAATGAGAGCCCATTAATGTCATGTCAATCTTATGATCATTAATATTAAATATGCACATTAAAGTAAAGCGAATGGTGAAAAGCAAATGCATACTATGTAACTAGATGCAATGGAAAGTAGATTAACAAAAATTTATAATTATTTATATCAAATTATCAAAGGTTTCTTTATAAACAACATTAAAAGTTATATATCTGTAATGACCATCCTCATTATGAACTAATATCTTTAAACCCTTTATATTTTAGGCATGAGAAACAGCAATATATAACTGGCCATGGGTGAAAATAGGATGAGGCATGTACAAAATAGAATAATACAAGCTCTAGTTTTGACTCTTAATAGCCATTGCAAAGGCTAGTACGATGAAAAACTGCCTCCTTTTTATAGTAAGTTGCAACCTCAAAGCAAATAGATGCATAGCAATACATGGCATATATACTTTCGTCCTTGTAGTTTATCCAAACATTTCTCAGGTCTTAATACATATTTTATAGCTCGTGTAACTATAAGACGTATGCCGCTGCATGACTCATGCTTGTTGTTAGTGTAAGAAGTTGATAATTGTCTAAAAATAAAGAGTTAATGGCAAAAAAGATGTCTTCTCTTGACCTATTGGGTGTAGCATCCTAAATTTTAACTTTGAGAATTTTCAATATTTATAAGGGTATTTTAGTCAAATTAAGTGAATTTTTAATTAATGATGTTTTGGGAGACTAACTGAGCTTATGAATTATTGGACGGCCTTATAAGAGGGCTAAATTAGAATTTGAGCGAGCCATGGTACGGAGAAAGACCCAAAGCGAGTCTGGGGTTTCTTATGCCATGCGCAGTAGTGGACGAGCCAATGCACCACAGCGCACGTGCAAAATCTACATTTATCTACTCATAAAATCAAACACAAAATGATAAGTGGGATAAAAAGAATGCAAAGAGACGATGGAAGATGACTGGTTGGTATTAGGGCTCAACCTTTAGGTCACTTTGGAAATATTTGGAGCAAGATTTAGTTTTAGGTAAGTTTAATCCACTTCACCTTCTCCTTATATTCAAACTTTCTGATGATTTGAGTATCGTGGGGCTTTGATTTTGTATTTTCTTGGGTAATGGCTAAATCCATTGTCTTGGTTAAGGCCTTGGGAAGTTAAATCAAGCCTTTAAACCTAAATTTTTATGATTAAATAGTGATTTAGAGTTGTTGGTTAGGGTTTGGACGAAACCTGGTAAAAATTGAATGATTAAGAGCAGTATGAATAATGTAATGTTATTTTTTATATGTTGGGGGTGTTAAATAGGGTTAATGTAGAGTGTGGAAGGATTGTTAGGGCTAAATTGATGTTTTGAGCATAACAGGTACTCCTAGTTGTACTATAAAATGAGATAATTAGTGTAGGAATTTGACAATTAAGGATTTAATTGTGTAGATTAACTTTTGATCAAGCATTGTGGTGTTAGAGGACGTGTGTGGAGTCGTTGGTTGACCACAATAGCTCTTTCAGTGATAAAAGAGTTGAGATAACCGAATTGTCGAATCTCTTTTTATGTGTTTGGATAGTAGTGTGTTATATTTAAAAGTAATGTTTTGGTTTGATAATAGCCTGATAATAATATAAAATTATGATTATGAAGTTACGTGAAGTGGAATGAAAAGTTATTTTAATGTCTTAGCATTTGAAGAATAAATGCTATTTTTATACATAACTATTTATGAAATTCTATAGTTTATGTGGAAGTGAGCAATTGTGATCATTGATATGTTATGAGTATGTATTGGATGCATTAGGCATGTTGGCATGATCATTATGAGAGGGTAGGAGTTTACCCTAGTGTGTTGCCGAAATATTGTTCAGAAATCTATATAGTACATTAGCACTGTAAAGGTCTATGTACTCAATATTATATTGTTTGGAAGTCTTGGTACTACAAGTAGTAGATTGTGCATTGACACCTCTAGTAATTATGGACAGGGGGAATATGTGGTCCACAGTGGATGAAGGCACTCTTGGCCAAAGCTGCCTTTTACTGATAGTGAGTTTGGACCAATCCAGTCACATGGACTTAGTCCTATCAAATTGTTAGCCCACAAATTTAGTCGAAAGACATAAGAAGGGTATAAGGTGGTGTATTGATCATGCATATCATACTATAACCATATGTGTGAATTTACGAGACATGTTATTTGATTTACCATGCCACTTTACACATACATCGACTGTTCTCACACACGAGTAGTCGATTAGATTATTTGGTTACCGAGTCCTTAACTCACCCGTTGTTACATTTTATAGGTGAAGGCTCTGATAGGGGCAAGAGAAAGGAAGGCGCAACGGAGCATCGAGGGAACTAGCTTGCAGTTGTATAGTCCTTTCATTTATTTTGAGTTTGTAATGAATATTATATGCATATGCCAACTTAGGACTTACACAATTTTGTTACACATTTGCATGAATTTTATTGTTATTTGTAGGTATCTCGGCTTGGGTTTGTTGTGTCTGTGTTGTAGTAGTTATAAGAGGTCGAGATACTAGTGTAAGTATTGGTTTTGTTTTGATTTATGTATTAGATTGGCCATTTGATTGTTTATGAAAAATTGTTACCCCTAATGAAATTTATGTTGAAATTGGAGTTTTAGTGGCCAAATCTTATTTAGACTATTGTAGTTGAAATTTGAATGCTTAAATAGGTTGTTTATGGTCTATTTAAGTTGGTTCAAATGGTTTCACAGTTATTAGCACTTGGTTTGAAGGTTTAGGCACCTTGGTTGTAATTTTTGAAAGAAAATGAGCTATTTTTGGTTCGAGTGTCCAAATCTCATTTGATTCAATGTTTAGGTGTGAGTCTAGTGCCATAACCAGGCGCTCTAAGATTTATGTGTGGACACTTGAATCGCTCAGTGTTCAGATGGTGAAATGATATGCTCCGGAAGTTGGCCGAGAAAACTGTCACGACAATTGTCACGCGCCGTGACACGTTGTCCATCATGCTATGGCGTGAGGCATAAAGAGGGGCGTTTCCCTTTGTGTAGTCTACTGCTGTGGACAATGCACTGCGTCGTGGCGCACTGTGCCTATATGACTAAAAATATATTGTTGCTTATTATTTTGTAGTATAATGAATTCCCTATGCTTCCGTTGTCTAATTTATTTAGTTTTAAATTATAGTTTAAGCTCAAATGATCTTTTAAATAAGTTTGTTAAGGATATCGTTTTGCTTAAATGTTTTTAACTCTTAAGTTATGATAACTATTTATGAGGTTAATATAATCTCGGTCATCATAACATTGTTCCATATTTAGTGTTCTGTGTGTTTGGTAATGTTGAAGATGACATTATACTTGGAATAACAAGAAGGCTGTATTTACTTGAAGTCTCCACCAAATGCAACAACTTTTCTTCAAGAAGGAAGATCATTAACCAACATGCTATTTGACTTTTAAGTATTTGTCAAGAGCTTTAAGACAAAATGTCTTATCATGTATAATCAATGACATGTAAGCTAGTAATTCAATTAAGCTGCTCCACTATTTCGTGCCACATATAGTATCTTCATTCACAAGAAGAGGAATATAAAAATGTGAGTGAATTATTTGTCCTCCGAAAAACATTAGATAAGTTATTATGCTTGATGATGCATTGAAGTCTATTTTACCTTTAGATCTCAATGAAGTAGAAAGATTCCTTTAAACATATGTCTTCCCAATACCACCCATACAAGGAAAAAAATATCATTGTATTTATCAAATTTGATGACATATAAAAATCATAAATCTTCTTTTTCTTGAAAGTTAGGTTTTGAAGCAACCTCATCAACTCATCATGTAATACAGTTTTATCATAATTTAGTTCATTTTTTATTAATCTATACCCACTTGTATCTAAACTTGACATGTTAGATAAATGTATAGGCTCATAATCCCAATGACTTTTTCTATTATACTATAGTATTTTCTTAATCTCAGTTAAAATTGGCAATATGAGTTGAGCTTGTGGGTCTAACTAAAGGTGTTTAAAACTAATTCAAATTGATCACATCGAACCAAACCGACATGAACAGATAAAAACCAATTACAAATGAGGTTCGGTTTAGTTTTTCTCTTGGCAAAATTGATTGGTTTAGGTTTTTGCTTCTAGAAACTTGAACTAAACTGAACCAAGTCTTATTATATTTATTATATATACTCCTTCCGTTAAAAAATATAAGACATTTTTAACCGAATCTCACTCTTAATAAGGTAGTTACCTACTTTTAAATTAACCCTATTTTTTCATATTTACCCTTATTAAATACTCAACAATAAATATAAAGTTATTATTAATTGGGGTATTTTTGAAAAAAAGACAATGATTATACCTTGAAAGACCAAAAATGCCTTACTTACATTTTTTGAATATCCAACTCCTTAAAAAATGCCTTACAATTTTGAACAGAGGGAGTATATTTTTATGAATTTGTCAAATTTTTTTCCCTTTTTTAAATTTAGTTAGTTGTAAATCATGAGTAAAGATAAGTTATAATTAGTTAAATGTCATTTATAATTATTTAGGGCAATTTTTTAATTTTATAATCAAGTGTTTTAAAGACAATATATTATTTTTTAATAGTTAAATATGCTAATTAATTGTTTAAGAAAATATTCTTTTGTGTTCAGGAGATTTTTTCATTGTAGAAAATAGTTAATAATTAAAAATTATTGGTAAACATGAATATATATTAGTGATTACGAAGAATATCTCATTAAAAAAAATTAAACCTGATCCAGATTTAAATCAAATCGAATCAAATTACTTAAAAACCAAACCAAATTGATTAGAGAAAAAGATTGAATAGGTCTCAAATTATAGTGAATCGATTAGTTTGGTTTGACCTAATTTTTTCTCAAAACCAAATCAAATCAAACCTGCGAACACTTTTAGGTCTAACCCCATGAAAGAGTGATGGGTTAGGTTGCGTAATTTGAACCTTAGCTAGATGCAAGCCAGTTTTAGCTCATACCATTTAAACTGAGCCTACCAATTTGCAAGATAACCCATTTATAATTTTTATGAAAAAATAATAAAATATATTGCAATAAAATAATTTTAATTTTAAAATAAAAAATCATGTTTAAAAGTAAAATAAAACAAATTAAATAAAAAACAATGATAACAAATAATTAAATTATATTTAAAAAATTTATCATAATAAAAAGGAAAAATTACATGTAAGTCTCATGAACTGATTTATTTACAAACAGGTTCCATAAAATTTAGAAACTACAATTAGGTCAATTGAGATTTGAGTGTAATTTAAAATTTGGATAAAAAAGATAATAATACCTTTATTAAACATATATACATTGCATCGGTCAAATAATTTACAACTACTTCATTAGTAATTCATAACTGTAACTTCAACTTTTTACAGTTGTAACTTCATATATTCATTAATTAAATTAGACTGATCAATTTAACTATTAAATATGTGAAGTTACGATTGTAAAAAATTAAAGTTATAATTATAAATTACTGATAAAGTTATTGTAAACAGTTAATGTTAAATTTTCTTAATAACACATGATTATTTAATTATTAGATATGCGAAGTTATAATTATACAAAGTTAAAATTATAGTTATAAATTGCTAATAAAGTATTTGTAAATTAATTATTCGATCGATGTAGTGTATATTTAATACGTGTGTTACTATCTTTACAATTTAATTTCAAATTACATTCAGGTTTAAGAGATTTGATTGTGGTTTCTAATTTCACAGGACTTGCTTGTGAATAAATTTGCTTCACGGGATCTATACATAATTTTTTTTAAATTAACAATTAAAGTATACTTTTCATCCTTTAAATTTAGACAAGGTTTTAATTTAATTTTTTAATTTTATAAAAAATCTTTTCAATCTTCTAATCTTAACACTTTTAGCTTCAAATGATTATATTTTATACTCTCATTGTTATTTTTTATTTTTAAAAAGCCATATTTAGCTTGTTTATATTTATATTTAATGAATTAAAAATATAATTTATAAAATTAATTAAAATAAAATTTTATGTAAAGTAAAAAAATTACAGATATGCTTTAGCCTAAATTAATTAATTTTATTTACTTGCTCGTAAAGATCAGTCAATTAATTTTATTTACATACTGGGTGAGACGAATCTCAATGGTTTCTTATTTTTTATTTTTTTAAAAAAGCTAGTTTGCACGCCCTTATCATGCTCTCTTCGTCTAGGGCTTAGGACTCCCCGGCTTAGCACTCTCTTGGTGACAATGGCGAACTACGACCTAACCCCCCGGATCGCGCCGCACCTGGATAGACATCTCGTGTTCCCTCTTCTCGAATTCCTTCAGGAACGCCAGCTCTACGAGAATGATCAGATCCTCAAGGCTAAGATCGAGCTCCTTAACAAGACCAACATGGTCGACTATGCCATGGACATCCACAAGAGCCTCTACCATACCGAGGATGTACCCCAAGGTCCTTAGTTTTCATTGTTCTTTTGCGTTTGTTTTGATTTTTATCATACTGTGATGGCAATTTCGGTAATTCTGGTCAGAGATGGTGGACATGAGGGCGGAAGTAGTTGCCAGGCTCAAGGCACAGGAGGAGGCCGCCGCACCGCTCGTTGCCTTTTTGCAGAACGCCAGCGCTGTCCAGGATTTGAAGGCTGACAAGCAGTATAATCTTCAGATGCTCAATGACAGATACCAGGTTTGTTAACTTATTTTTACCTACAATTTTGGGGATGGAGATATGATTTTCCTGCTAGATGTAATATGGTCAGCCCTGGAATTGAATTTAGACCTAGACACTTGATCTCTGGCTGAAGAATCTCCCCACCTCAAACTCCCTCTATTTTTAAGTAGGTATGTTCATTGGCGGATTGCTAACCAAATTTATAGAATTGATAGCGAGTTCCTAAAATGTATTTTTTGCCGGTTTGCCGACCGAGTTTAAATCATTTTACCAATATTGGTAGTTGGAGGACCAGAATATTTTATACACGTATTCGAAATGTTTCTGTATAATGGGTGGTGCTATGCTTTTATAGCAGCTTTGTCAAATGACTCTTGCTTGGGACCTAAATAAATTGTATCGATCAATACATACTACATAGCAGAGCTTTTCCCCCCTAAGAGCTCGTTGGATTTGGCTTCAGTGCATAACTGCATGTGCACCCCTAGGTGATATTGAACTGATTTTTTTCCTGAAGATGTCATTGCAAAACTTATATGTATAATATAATCTTTCCCAGTTTCAACTGAGAATCTGAGATAATAACGTCTTGATAATGTTCCTGGACATTATTGCTGCTTAACTCTTTCCCCTTCCAACTTCTTGTGTTGAATGTTCAAATTTTGTTTGACCGAGTTCTGACTCTTCAAATGATATCTTTCTAACAGATTGGTCCTGAGCAAATAGAAGCATTGTATCAATATGCCAAATTTCAGTTTGAGTGTGGAAACTACTCTGGTGCCGCGGATTATCTTTATCAGTACAGGGCTTTATGCACAAATAGTGAAAGGAGTCTGAGTGCTTTATGGGGGAAGCTTGCAGCTGAGATATTGATGCAAAACTGGGACATTGCTCTTGAAGAGCTGAACCGTTTGAAAGAAATAATTGATTCAAAGGTTTGTTTGATGTTTGAATAGTGACATCAGGAATTTTATTTATTTATTTATTGAGGTTATCCTAGTAAACATAGGCTTATCTTTGCTGATCTCCATTGCAGAGTTTTGCATCACCTGCAAATCAGGTGCAAAGCAGAATATGGTTGATGCATTGGAGTCTCTTCATCTTTTTCAACCATGACAATGGAAGAACACAGATTATCGATCTGTTTAATCAGGACAAGTATGCTTTCCGGACTGAACCTGCTTCTGTCTTCATCTGTTGATAGACGTTTTACGCATTTCATTTTTCATTGCCATTCCTTATTAAATTGGATAGTTTCTTCCTTTTCTTTGCAGCAGCTTTTGTTTGCGCCTCCAGGTAGCAATATTTGCTATATTTACAATTTGACATATCTAAAATACATCTTTCCCAGGTATTTGAATGCTATTCAAACTACTGCTCCGCACCTTTTGCGATACTTGGCCACAGCATTCATTGTCAACAAGCGCAGGAGGCCTCAATTCAAAGATTTCATTAAAGTTGTTCAGCAAGAGCAGCATTCATATAAAGATCCCATCACTGAATTTTTGGCATGTGTTTATGTCAACTATGACTTTGATGAGGCACAAAAGAAGATGAGCGAGTGTGAAGAAGTAAGTGACCTTTATGCTGACTACCCAAGATAACCCTCGAAGAACATTATGTGCACTGTTTTAAGTGCTACACGTTAGGGTTGAAGTATATATCAATTTCCTGTTTCACATCTTTCTTGCTTATAATTTGTCTTTATCTACCTACGTTATTACTTAAGGAGCTTGTCACATATTACCACCTGCAATAATGCCAGGTAATACTCAATGATCCCTTCCTTGGTAAACAAGTCGAGGATGGCAGCTTTTCAACTGTACCGTTGAGGGATGAGTTCCTTGAAAATGCCAGGCTATTCATCTTTGAGACATACTGCAGAATACACCAACGGATTGACATGGGGTATGAACGTGCTTTCTGATAACTAATGTTGTAACTCTAATTATACTTTTTAAACGAACTTCTTATCATTCATTCATGTAAAGAAACAGTTCAGAGTTGTATGCCTTTGCTTCAATCTCTCCTGTCATTCTTTTTTCCTCCTTTTAGAAAGAAAAATTACTGGCCTTCATAACTAAGTATATGCATGAATTGTCAGACTGGTTTCACCAATTGCTGATGTTTGTGATAGAGTTCTTGCTGAGAAGTTAAATTTGAATTACGAGGAGGCTGAGAGATGGATTGTGAATCTCATTCGTAGCTCAAAGCTTGATGCCAAAATTGACTCTAAAACTGGAACTGTTATCATGGAACCCAATCATCCTAATGTGTAAGTGTGATCAAACATTCAGTGTTAATTGATAGATATTGCCTCTTGTGGTTATGATTTTGTGACTTCTCCATGTTGACGAGCCTACCTTTCCCTACATATGACCTGCAATCTTTTTTGTGATTCTTGATCCTTACTCATGGAAAATTCACTGCTCCAGATATGAGCAACTTATTGACCATACCAAGGCACTGTCAGGGCGTACTTACAAGTTAGTCAGCCAACTTCTGGAGCATGCACAAGCACAGTCAGCTCGATGAATAATATGGCTCATGAGCTGTGTGGAGATTTGTTGCTTATGTATTTTTGGATACAGCAATTTTGTTTTTGTTCTTTATTTAGAATTGCATTCAAATTGAGGCGCTTTTCAACCTCAAGCATATGGCTTAGGGCATCTCTTCCATGTCAAGAGCACAAGTAAAAACTGCTGTAGAGAATTGACCTTTTTTTATTGGTTTAGATGTTATCGCATACATTTAAGAAATATCTGTTCCAAGGAACTAAGTTCATGTATTAACTTATTTTGATATCTCTGATCTCATTCCCCACTCCCCCCTCTTAATTTAAAACTAAAATGTGAATTTTAATGATAAGTATTTCATGGCTCAACATGAGATAATTTCGTCTTTTGCCAATTTTTACTGGTAGTATTTGTGCAGACAATTGTGACTATTTGTCACAAGGACGAGCCGTTTCAGAGGTGCAGATCAATCTTCAGTTTGGAGAGTCGAATGGATGTTAGAGAAAGACTCAAGCAACCACTGAGATTACTGTCTTCAGATAAAAATTTTTTTGAACCGAATAATAACAAATGTTATATTCTATTTTTTATAACATGAAAACGAAATATTTTTTGGAGCTTTTTATAATTCATATTATAAAATTAAATTAAGCTAACAATTTAGCATTTCTTATATTTTTTATTATGATTAGTTTATTATATTTATCAATGTTTTAATGATATATTATCATATGTTAATGATGGATTTTTGTAATTTTTTAATGGTAAATCTTTACATATCAATTATAAACTTTTTACACTGATACCTTATGCGAATTGATTATATTTTTAAAGTTCTAAAAATTTGATCTATCTTTTTGGCATAAGATTTTGTACAACCTGTTGTTAATTGAGAGAATTACGTAGAAATTTTACATAAAAAATTAATTAATAGTAAATTTATCAATAATTGAATTAAGTAAATTTATAGTAATTAATTTTTTTATGTTAAACTTCAGTGTAATTTTCCCTCGCTAATTTATTCATATTTTTATTGCAATTGCCAAGTGAGGCCATGTCCTCTGTCCGTTAATTCCTAGTCCATTTCTGGGCCATGATTTATTAATTCCCAGTCTTTTATGCATTTTAGATCACAGCGCAGTGAACTCCTCTCAAAGTTTCCAGCGCAGGCGTGGTCGTATCGCTCGTTGGAATCCACCGACTTGAAAAACGAAACGTCGAGGGCTAAGCTCCTCCTAATTCTAACCTTTGCCTTTCGTGCCTGGTACGGTCTTGAACTGCATTGTAAGCTCATTTGAAGTTCTTCGTTCCTGGTATGGCCTTGAACTGCATTATAATTTCTCTCGAACGAGTTAAAATCGCATTTGGAGAGTTGGAAGGTTTCTTGCTTGAAAATCCTAAATACTTTTGGTAAAACTCTTTCATTTTAATTTAGAATTTTCACGCTTGGCCGATTATCTTGTTCTTGTTTAGCGCTTCTGAAATCGATGGGAGATGTTATATATTTTTTCCCTGGATTTCATGTATTGAGATTTTTATTTTTTATTTTAAATTTCGGGTTCAAACTAAAGAGACGCGCAATTTTGTGGCCCCAAATATAAAGAAAACGGAAATAGCATATCCACATACCGTGAGCTTACTCTTGGGCTTTTTAAGGCCTTTATATAAAACGCTTAGTCTCTCTCTTGAATAATTCGTCCGCTCATATTCTCGCCTTCTAAATAAGCTCGATGAAATAGTTGAATTGGCCCAAAAGGAAGATGCAACAAGAACAACGGTCGTGCCTACAGTTACTGAAAGCCGAAAATGCATTTGATTAATTAATTGCCAGTAATTCACATGGCCAACAGGAGGTTGGTATCGGCTTTTGAGTTTTGAAAGATTCTGTGGCCAGGGGCAAGAATTGCCAATGGGTCATACTCGGATTTCCTTCTTCTCAACAGTTCCCATCTTGTCCCAAAGTGGCCTTCCCATTCTTCTCGTGTGCTGTAATGTGCAAGATATTGCTTCGCTCCTAGCTGAGCCCGCTTGCAGAACTCTATGATCCTTTCGTTTTGGCTTAGAATGTAATCTAAGCTGTCTTTCCCTGTCGAAAATGGTACAGCAGAAGGAAGAAATGCCACCAGATAGAAAACATCTTCCTCTGGTGTAACCAAAAATGTTCTATTGTTCCACCTGTTACGAGAAAAAGACATATTTCATTTGCTTGCTCTAAAGTGGAGTATGATTTGGTTCGATTAAGGGTCGACAAGAGAGCAGTACCTTGATTGATTGACGGGGTATATGAGTATGGGTCCATTGCTTGTATCCGAAAGAATTTTCTCAAACACCTCATGTGCGAACTCATGAATTTTGCTCCTTGGGATCAGAAGATTGAGCCATGGATGGGGAACTTCCCACAAGCCTTTGGCTCTTAGCTTCATCTCGGAAACATGCACTCTGTCCAGGAAATCTACGTAAGGAACTTCTGATAGAAATATTGTCGATGGAATATAGCTCAGTTCTGATAACAGTTGGTCGATTTCCTGCATTTCATTAGGTATAAATGAGATCTAACTACCGAATTCCTCAGTGGAGATTCTTTGGTTACTCGCAATTTGCTAATGTTGAAGATCTAACTCACGAATTCCTCACCTGATTCATGGCTTCAGTTTCGCCTGGGTTGAAGTATTTTGCCACCTCGAGACAGTAAAATGTCCTCCCATCTGAATTGAATTGGCTGGCTTGAATTGGGTCTTCGGGATTGAAGGATGACCTCCAGTTGTTAAGGATGCCTGTTCTGTTTATAATTACGAAGCCTTCAATATAATCAAATGTATTTTCAAGTGATATCAAGTACTCTTGATCCCTTGTAAATACTGAGAATTCTGAGTATAACACTCTAATCCATTTCACCTGGCAGAAGTCAAGAATTTTGTCACAAGTAAGATATCTGTATGGAGTTTGTTAGTATCAACCTCCGGAAACATGAAAGTACACTACAGTAACCTTTATTGGTGCTGGTTCAAGAGAAATTCTAGCCCTGGTTATGATGCCAAATTGACCAAGCCCTCCAAGAACACTATAAAAAAGGTCAGCATTTTGGTTCTCTGAGCAGGTAAGCACCTCTCCTTTTCCTACAACAAAAATATGTTTTGCGTACTAGATCAGTGCAAAAAATTCAAAATGATTATCACGTGAAAACATTTGCTCAGTATGTTGAACGAAGGTTCTCGTTTCAAAGAGAGTAATATTGTCATTAAGCTACTAAAATAAATCTTCTCCTCGTGTGAGTTTTGATATGCTCTGAGATTTGGCCAGAACCATACTATAAAATCCTGTTTGGTGGGGAAGGAGTGGATTTTGCTTGATTGATAATATATACACCGGTGATTACTTCAACAACAACAACAACAACAACAACAACGAGTCTTTATTTCACTAGGTGAGGTTGGCATACCGGTGATTACTTCCAGCTGAAAAATGTTATCGATCTGGGGTCCATGCTTGAAGGCGTGTCCGCTTATTCCAGCATTTGATAGAGTTCCTCCAACTGTAAGATGAAGATAGTCTGTCCAAGATTTAGGTGCCAAACCGTGCTTAAGAGTCTCATGGAGAATGACTATCCATAACTCACTAGCTGAGACATCCACATAAGGAAATTCTCCACCGTGAACAACCATTTCTGATCCCTTCAGTGACTCCATGTTCACCACTAGGCCTTGATATGCTTGTGCCTGACCTTGAAGAGAATGACCGCGGCCTCTAGCTGCAACCTTTAGCTGTGAAGCAGAATCCATTTCAAAAATATGCTTTATTGTGCGTGAGATATCAGAAACTGTTTTTGGATGCAGAATTGCCAGAGGAGGACAATGGTATATGTTACCAAAGTCTTTATGTCCATTGTCTTCCAAACTGAAGTAACCATCAAGAGCTAGTGTTTGCAATGATGAAAGAATATCGTAGGCAGGAATTCTTGGGGCAGCAACAGAGTTATTGCAGCATAGGTTAGCTTTAGTTGTTAAACAGTTAAGGGTTACAACTATGAAGACTATGGCAAATAAGAACTTGCCATGTTCAAAACAATCAGATGGTAATGACCCCATATTTTTTCTGAAGTTTGCTCGGTAGGATAGGGGATTGAATGCTGTGTTGGGAGGCAGGGAATAGAACAAATTTAGAAGAGCATGGCCAAATGAAAGGGGGATTTTGGTTTTGTATTTTTTTTTTTTTTTGGGGGCGGGGGTTTGGATTTGCAGTGTCACAGATCAAAGGGGTGACTCCTTTTATAACACTTTGTCACGGGTGTGGCTTTTTTTTTTTTTTTTGGATGGGAATGGGAAGAAGACGTGCTCAACATTTTCAGTGGGGGTTTAAACTTTAAAGGACATAAAATCTCTACGTGGGACTAGCTTATGGTTCTCAGACGTGTGATTTAAAGATTTAACGCATAGATGTCACGCTCAACTATTGTCAATAATGAGGTGGGATTTACAAGAATGGGAATGAGTAACTCAAATATCTATTGTTAGATTAGATATAGCTAGAGTTTGGAAGAGTTTTAGAGGTGATATCCCAGAAGCTGTTGTTAGGTTCTGAAAAAGAAAATGTATATACAAAATGAATTTAAAAGTTAAAATATCGTACTTATGAATTATTGTTGATATTTTTATTTTAAGTCTCATTCTTTTGACTGTGGGACTACAGTTATTTGGACTTATAATTCAGAATATGTTATCAGGCACTTGTATTGATATATTTTCTTTAGAAGAAAATGTGTCATAATAATGTCATGTATAATGCTAGTATTAAATCGTGTACTGAAAGTAAGCCTGGAATGGCATTGGATTGGTTGATTCATTGGGGACCGTTTTGACTTACAGGTAATTGGTTGCAGATGAACTTTGAACTTAATTAATCAAATGCAGTACTGTCAGGTTTTGGAGCACACTTCTTTTTTCTCATGGCGAGTGATTGCAGGGGACCGGCCCCTACTGCCATCTCAGCTGCTTCGCCTTACAACCCTGTGAGAATTGAGTCAGATACCGCGGGGTCCCGTTCCTGCATTCGCCAAGTATCTTGGTATGTTTACATGATATTCCCCACAGTATTTGTGATGATAATCTTCTTCAGTAATTATTCAATCATATAAATATATATTTATTCACGCTGTTAATTTTTAGCTGATGGATAAGCTTATAATCATGTATCGAAAGAAGAACTTTGAAAAGTATTGAAAAAGAATGATGTCTGGGTTGTCTATTTTGGAGCTATACAAGACATGTATGAGGGATAACAACTAGTATAAAAATGTTTGATAGTGGAACAAAAGATTTTCTTATAAAGATTGGACTGTATCAATGATCATCCTTGAGGCTTTATTTTTTTGACCTAATTTTAGATGTTTTGATTGAGTATATTTAAGAGGAAATTTCTAAATACATACTTTTCGTAGATGATATAGTTCTTATTGTGTATACAAGAGAAGAAATTAATTGTAAACTTGAGTTGTGGGGGGCATTAAAGTCAATTTTTGCCTGAATAAGAGTAAAACAGAATATCTATATTGTAATTTTAATAAAAAGTCAGTGAGTGATAATTCGAAAGTGAAATTGAATAATCAGATTATATTTCAAGTGAAAAAAGTTTAGATATTTGAGAACGATTATTCAACGTAATGGAAAAATTGATAGAGATATTGTATATAGGATATAAGTTGGTTGATTTTATTAAAGAAAGTTTAAAAAAATTATTTGCAATCGTAAGGTATCTAATAAATTTAAAAGGAAGTTTATCAAATTTTATAAGACCAGCAATATTATATGGACACCTAAGAGAATAAAGTTTGAGTAACAGAGATGAAAATGTTGAGATGTACGAAGATATACATGTAAAGATAAAATTCAAGATACGCACATATGAAAAAAAGTGAGCGTCCCACGTATTGAAGGAAAAATAGTAGAAAATTATTTGAGGTGATTTAAACATGTACAAAAAAGACTACTAGAGGCATTTGTGAGGAGAGTGAAACAGATAACTTTAAGTCATGTCAAGAAAAGTAAAGAAATGTTAAAGAAAATACTTTTGAAAGTTGTTAATCGAGATTTATTAATTAACAATATTTTTAAAAATTTAATAAATGATAGAGTTTAATGACGTTGTATAATTCATGTAACTTGCCTCACTTTGTGAGATAAGACTTGTTTTTATTTTTTAGCTCATAAATAGATATTCAAAAACCATACTTTTTTTTGATCCCATATATAAGTCACATTTTAAAAGGTCTATTCAATTTTATTTATAAATCACAGTGCGTTTTTTAAAAAAATATTTAGAAGATATTTTTAAAATTGCTCTTTATTTATGAGAGAGAAAAAATAATATGATATTATTTTTAAATTTATTATATAAAAACATATTTAAAATTTTATACATTTTTATTTTATTTTTTTGATAGTGATGGAGTCGGTGTAAATGACTTAACGAGAGGGGTAATTTGATAGTTTTAATGAGGCGCCTTTGTTGCTGATGTTGTTAATTAATGCAAGAGCAGAGCCGACATCTTCATTTTCGAGCTTTCTAAAGAATCCAAGGAATCTACATGCTATAATTTGTTTACCTAAATTGCAGCGATACCTTGTACATTTTGCACAGCATTCCCTTGGCGTATTTTTAGTTTCTAATGCGTTTATCAAGCTCTAGATATGAATGGTTTAATGATTTACATATCATTTTTTATTACAATTATTAATAATTATTAATATATAATATTAAATTTATAATAATTGACATGTTAAGTTCAAGTCCATCATGAACAATAGAAATTCATTCTGTATGTAATAACGTTTTTCATTGGTAAATATTCTTTTGGTTTTATTTGTAAAGCAATGAGAGAAAAAAATTTAATCTTATTTATAAAATATTTATCAATTTTCAATGATCTTCTTTACATTTTGTCCCTTATTAAATGTTTTGAATGAAAATACTAATAATGAGATTTAAGAATATATATTAAGGATAAATATAAAAATTTGTTAAATTTTAAGATAAAATTGATGAGGTTTAACATTTTTTTTTTATTCTAGTGAAACATGTTGGAAGTAAGTTATAAATAAGATCCAGAAAATATTCTTAAACTTCTTTAGCTTATACATCCCTTTATCAGCAAATATATTTTGTTTTGCTTCAACTTCATGTATTTAAGATTGGAAGTCTAGAGCGCTCTCATGAGAGAAATTGAATCCATGTTCTGGAGTGAGATGCTATATGTCTTCGGGGCTCTGACTGAATCAGCCAAACCCTTTGGCTATATATATATATATATATATATATATTATCAGTTTCTTTGCATTGTTGAAAGAAATCCACACAATACATCAGTATATTGGAAGAGCTATGGCACAATTAGTAGATTATAATTTCCATGACAATTAGGATGATCATAAATTGAGGAGTAATTGGGTCAAGTATGCTGAAAAATTAGGTGGAAACATTCATTCTTGAAAACGATATTATTTTTAGTCTTGCGATGTTATGTTTCTAACTGGATGCCGACATTTAATTATCCGAGGAATGGCATATTAAGGGGATCGTGTGGGGATCAGCACACATTATCACATGTACCGCACTAATACAAAATTGCTTTTTATGCTAGGGATTTAGCACAGATTCGAAGGCAACCGGTTCAAAAACATGAATTTATACTTTCCATACTGATTATACTCTCTCTAGTCTTATATATAAAATATTTTTAATTAAATCACGTAAATTAATAAAAATTAATTATTTAATTAAAAATATAACTATATTTTATTTTTTAATTATTATAAATAAAAAATAAATCTCTTTTTTAAAGTAAATTAATGAGAGTATTTATTTTTTTATCTTTTCAATTTAATAAGGATATAATAATTTATTCATTAAAAAATATATCAACAATCTCTTATATTTTGAGGTAAAAAAATTCTAAAACATTTTTTATGTACAGGGAAGAAGGGAGTAGCTCACAACGAGCGTAGAAAGTAAATTTTGTGTGTGTGTGTGTGTGTTATATTTTCTTTCGACACCAATTCTACTACAATCGGCGTGACTTTCTGTAAGGATTATTTCTATTCTAAATTAAAAAGCCATTTTAAACTAATATAAAAAGTCTCTTATGTGCTCGTGTGATTTCAACGTAGATACACCCAGCACCACTGAAAGAGCTAGTTAATTGATTTCTCCTTGACTCTTGATCTCACTAGAGCTAGTAGTGCCCGTATCCTAATATGACATGACAGTGATACGTGTACTAAACTTTGCTCGTGTAATGCGGTCTGCTGTGTTTTTGTGTCTGTAATATTAGATAGAGCCAAAGAATACGAGTGATACATATATGCATTCTGCTCCTTCTTATATTGTACCGTCACGCCGTGTCATGCATGCATTTTCATGATTGCCAAACACAATATTTATCATGAAATCTAAGTCTTAAATGTTGTTGTACTAACCATATATTGCCCTCGAAAAGCTTGATGGTGAATTCTTTTGTTTCGGCTCTTGTTGATGTTTTCCTCAGCAGATATATATATATGGAGACCATGAAATAAAAATCTTGGAAGAACTGAATATCCAAAAAAAAAAAAAAATCTTGGAAGAACTGTCGTATATCTTTGAAACCAATAGAGTAGGTTTTGGCTTGAACCACTCACACAAAAAGATACTGAGTACATTGACGTACACCGATTCTGTTGGCAGGGTTGCTGGGGGTATTCCTTGGACACACTAGAGAGAGAGAGAGAGAGAGAGAGAGGTGCATTGTTGCTTTCTTGCGTCATTGTTACTTACCGTCAAAATATAAAGCCTCCTAATCATTGTACTTATGCTGCTTTATATTCCTTATCCTTCTTCATACTTCATCATTCCCCCCCTCCCCTCTTCCGATCTTTGATTGGACAAGGCTTTTCAAAAGAAAAAAAACTTGCTTTTACACGCGCCTTATTATTATTACAGTGTGCCTGTGTCGAATATAGAGTTACTACTTGAGGCACCTCCATCTGTCCATTTCACTATATAGGACTGTGATTGTGTTAATTTAGCATCAAGTACCAGTGTCTTAACTTGCTCT